TCTGTCTAAGCCTCTACCACTTCAAGTGGAGGTTGGTAACTGAATTCCTTTCTGCACAATACATACAAGGCAAGCTAAATAACAGAAAGGGAGAAGGCTAGGTTTGAGCCCATATCCTTTCTGCCAGCATGGCATGGCATACAGATTTGAGTGTTGGAGTACAACTCTGGGAGATTTCTTACTCACCCAGTGGGTGATCTTGGGCAAATTACAATTTCTCAGCTTGAGGGGAAGCCAAAGGGAAACTACTTCTGAAAAAAATATTTCTAAGAAATCCCCATAATAGGATAACCATAAGTCATATCCCGCTTGAAGGCACAGAACAGCTATCTGATAAGTGAGTTTGCTATCCTTCTGGTATGGAAAGGCATTCATCAGTCTGTGTATTGTGGTAGAGAAGTGAAGATAGGAGGAAGGAGCATTAGCAGTCTAAGATGACACAATACTACTAACAGAAAACAAAAAAGACGGAGCAACTGCAGAAGAAGGTCAAAAAGGAAAGTGCTAATGCTGAATATTAAAAAACAAAAATAATGACCCCAGAAGTTATACAAGAATTCACCCTAGACAATGAAAAAAAAATTGAAATAATAAAAGAGTTCCCATACCTTGGTTCAAATATTAATTAGAAAGGAGACTGCAGCAAAGAAATTGGGAAGACTGCTATGAAAGAACTGGACAGGGTCATAAATTGTAAAGACATAACTCTGAACACTGAAGTGAAGATAATCTTAGCCAGTGGTTCCCAAACTTTGGTCTTCCAGGTGTTTTGGACCTCAGCTCCCAGAAGCCCCAGCCAGTTTGGCCAACTGTAAGGAATCCTGTGAGATGAAGTTTAAAACATCTGGAGGACCAACGTTTGGGAATCACTAGTCTAGGCCATTGTATTTCCTATCACCATGTACGGATGTGAGAGCTGGACAGTGAAGAAAGCAGATAAGAAGAAAATCAGCTCATTCACAATGTGTTGCTGGAGAAGAGTGTTGAAGATACTGTGGACAGCCAAAAGGACAAACAAATGGGTTCTAGAACAGATCAAGTCTGAACTCTCTTGGGAAGCCAAGATGGCTATCAGTTGAAGGTGGCCACATCATGAGGAAAAATGAATAATTAGAATAATCCTGGGAAAGGTAGAACCCAGCAGAAAGAGAGGAAGACCACATGCCAGATGGTTAGACTCCATCGAGGAAGACACAGGACTGGACCTGCAGGACTTGAGCAGAGAGGTTAAGGACAGGGAGTCTTGGAGGTGTCTGACCCACAGGGCCTCCATGAATCAAAGGCAGTTCACAACAACAATCCAAGATATATAAAAACCATTTAAGACTCCATCTCAACCTAAGGCAGTAGAGATCTGGCTTACCACCTCAATGAGAAAACCAGGATGATGGTGGGGGGACCCTGCCTCTAAAAATGCAGCTATTAAAACCTAGAGCTTGGCCAAGGCTGCATCTACACTGCAGTGTTAATGAAGTTTGACACCACTTTACCTGCCATGGCTTAATGCTGTGGAATTCTGGTGTTATGAGATATTTAGCCTTCTCTGTCAGAGAGCTCTGGAGCCATTACAAGCCATGACAGTTAAAGCAGTGTCAAATTGCATCCATTTTCCAGTATTGTAGCAACCCATGTTAGCTTTTTGGAGAACAGCGCCCAGAAGTGCACTGCCAACATGGCCAAGGGGACAAGTTCTGATTAGAAACCCAAACCTGCCAGAGCCCCTAGATTTTCAGAGAAAGGCTTTCTCTCAGTCCCCCGATTGTCACATCCGGTGGGGACATGAGAGAGGGCCTTCTCAGTGGCTGCTCTCACCGTCTGGGACTCCCTTCCACAAGAAGCTAGGATGGCTCCCTCCCTCCTTGCTTTTCCTGGACAAGTGCAAACAGTTTTATTCAAGCTGAGTTTTAATACATAATCATGGGATGACTTTTATATGGGGGGTGTTATATGGTTTTATGGACCAACTGGCCTAATGGATAAGGTGTCTGACTTTGAATCAGAAGATTGAGGGTTCCAGTCCCACCTGGGTTGGTGATGGGTTGTCAAAAAGTGTGTTTTTATGAGAGCAAGCATGGAGTAGTGGTTTGAACATTGGACTACGGCTCTGGAGACCAGGGTTCAAATCCCAACTTGACCTATTCAAAACCCACTGGGCGACCTTGGGCAAATCACATTCTTTCAGCCTCAGAGGCTGACCATGGCAAAAAACCCCACGCCAAATCCCACACCTGAAGAAACTTTCCAATAAAACCTCCTAATAGGGTGGCCATAATTTGGAAACCATGATGGGGAGGCGTTGTGTGTGTGTGTGTGTGTGTTGCAATTCGTAGATATAGCTGTAGTAGTCTACAGAATCAGTATGTAGAGAGATCCTGTAGCTTCCTCAGATTCAACTTCTTTCCACTTTCAGCTTTCTTTCAACTTCTGTTCTTCTGCCAACTTCTTTCTTTCTTTCTTTCTTTCGTTTTAATTGGTATATTTTATTGCGTTTTATGAATATATACATGTATAGGTTCAAACAAAACAAAAAAAACTTTCCATTATAGAGTATTATATACTTAAGTCAGTAAAAAGAGAAGAAAATCAATCAATATATACATCTTTTTTTTTTTGTTTTTTAGATTGAACAATAAAATCTTATAGTTACGTCAAACAAATTTCTCTGTGTCTTTCTTAATTATTTTTCTTCCTTTTAAATCTTCCCGTCTTTCCATTTTCATCTCTTTACATTTCTGTTGTCTGTTGAAGGTATAGAATAAAATGTGACTTCCCCACTGGGTTTTCCATCTTTTGATGGCTTCCTCTTAACTACTTCTTTTTATGTTAATGCGTTTGCTCTCCCCTTTCTTAACTACAATCGTTTCTTACTAATCTGATTTATCCAGTACGTATTTTTATTCATGATTTTTTTTATTGATCTCTATGTACATGTATGTGTATATGTTTCTATCTCCCTTTCACCTTTTCCAGCTTTCCATAAATTGTATTGCTTTGTTTCCCCATTTATTTTCCCAAAGTGGTCTTAATCTTTTCCAATCTTCT